TTTCTGCCTATGTGAAGGATTATTCACAAGAAAGATATATTTTGGTTTGGAGAAGATGGATAGATTATATTGAGAGTAAATATGGAACTAAAAAGTTTCATTTGTTTTTTGAGTAAACTTTAGAGTGTTAATGTAGTTTATTTTTATCTATAATTAGTAATAAGATGTTATAATTATTGTGTTTAATATGTTTGTTTAAGAGAGAGTTAAAGGATGTTATAGATTTGTTAATCTAATAGTGATTAATGTTAGACAGAGTATGGTTATTGTATTGTTAACCCTGTGATTGGCTCTGGGAAGTCAGGGGGAGGGAGGGGGGAGGGGAAGGTGGGGTTTGGGGAGGGGGGAGATATGTTGTAAAACTTTTATAAAATTTTCAATTAAAAAAAAAAAAGACATGTTTAATGCCAAAACATATTTGATAGTTACTGACTCATGGTTACTGATAACTTCTGATGACCGTATTGATGACCATATAAAAGTATTATAGAGTCATCAGAAGTTTAATTTCAAACGTCAAACTACTTCTTCAGTCTTTTGCAAGGACTAAGTAGGAAAAAATGTCACATGATGTAGGGGACCTCTAGCTAACATTGCCAATTCCAAATCTTTTTAAATCAAGATTTATTGGTGACTATAGATAACATATATTCTAAATAACTAATTGTTATATATAGCATTTTCATAAACCACACATGGCTTTTAAGATACAATAAAAAAAGAAATTGTAGTAAAAATATTATCTATATTGTTTCACACAAATAAAAACAAATAGCTTGGAACTAGTTGATTATAGTTCCAAATATTAATTTCACAGATATTTAAAGTGAATATATGAACAAATGCTTCTTTATATTGAAATATCTCTAGGAAGTTCAGTATTTGACTACCAAAGTTTTATATCTGAATTCATGCATGGAAATTTAGAAACATATTTAATATAATTTTGTAACTATTCACTATTTCCCAGATGTTTCTTTCAAATACATCATATATCCTGGTCTTTGCTATCTATTTGACAAAATGGCAGAGCAAATATGCTAACAATGTCACACTTTTATTTTACTGTTCATTTTTCATATACTGTATATCTGAAGAAGAATTTTACTTAGAATTTCACTATATTTGAAGAATTTCAACACTGGTGGGTGATCTCCCATTATCTCTTTAGTCAGAGAGGCTCAAAGAGCCTGCCTACTCATTCTTTGCTGTAGTTGTTACCTTCACTCTTTGAGAAACTACTTCAATCTGCCATTTCTTCCTCCGGACATCCAGGGTAGATAGTTTTTGATAGATTTGCATTTGTAATTTGCTATTATTTTCTGTGCTTGTGAGGC